CATACCCTGCCGTGCACGGACGGCCTCGAACCGGCACCCTCCGCCACAGGAACGAAGTATCGTAACCACTACAACCCTTGGAGGTGTTATAAAAAACTGGATCCATACCGGTCGTGATATCCAGCCCACCTCCAGGGCTGCAGCGTCCTTGAACTCAGCACCACACACCCAACGCACACCACACCATACCACGGACTTGACAATCATGCACACTCCGTTGAACAACACGTAGCCCACCACCTCTACCAAACCTGCTCACTCTTGCGGGCCAACTTGCCTGCTGGTTCACAGGCCCCTCACAGTGATTCTGGACAACGTGTGTTTAGGGCATCATACCCTGCCGTGCCCGGACGGCCTCCAACCGGCACCCTCCGCCACAGGAACGAAGTACCGTAACCACTACAACCCTTGGAGGGACTGCATGAAATCTGTTAAAACTTTCAAAAAAAAAAAAAAAAAAAAAAAAATCTTATATAAGCCTTAGGGACGCTGGGCCCAGTTCCCACCACGTGTCGCTCCCCACGAGTAGATCGGAGCAAAAGAAAAAAGAAAAAATCAAGCAAAGCGAAAAGTGCACGCCAGTCCTTTGGGGGGGACATCCGTTAAAATTGGAACGATACAGAGAAGATTCTGTCTCTTATACACATCTAGATGTGTATAAGAGACAGGTGTTACCTGGTGCAGTTCATTGATGAAGATAACATTTTGTCTGAATTACCAGGGGTGAGGTCGCACTAGCAAAGAGGGTTGGATAGATATCCTGAATCTGGACGTGTTTTAAGCAGAGATTCGGAAAAGAAGTTCAATCTCGACATTCTGCACCTGTCTCTTATACACATCTAGATGTGTATAAGAGACAGGTATAGAGGTTTGCCAAGGCCCTGTATTTCAACAGTTCAGTTCAGTTCAGGGTCTAGGTCCCACTAGCAAAGAGGGTTGGATAGATATCCTGAATCTGGGCGTGTTTTAAGCAGAGATTCAGAGAAGCGGGTTTCTGTACCTGTCCATAAAAACGTCCAGATTCAGGCGTTCAATCCAATCCTCCTGTCTCTTATACACATCTAGATGTGTATAAGAGACAGAGGTCCCACTAGCAAAGAGGATAGGATAGATATCATGAATCGGGGCGTGTTTTAAGCAGAGATTCGGAAAAGCAGTTCAATCTCGACATTCTGCACCTTTCCACCAACAAGTCCAGATTCAGGTGTTCAATCCAATCCTCTTTGCTAGTGGGACCTCGCCCCAGTATACACCAACTTAGCTCTCCAACCCTACCAGCCATTGTCAAGATGGTCGTCGTGGGTGATTCTGGACAACGTGTGTATAGGGCATCATACCCTGCCGTGCACGGACGGCCTCGAACCGGCACCCTCCGCCACAGGAACGAAGTATCGTAACCACTACAACCCTTGGAGGTGT